AACACGCGAGTCAGCCACTCAGGATTTTCGTGGCGATCAAACTCTTACGTACTTTAAAAACTTGTAAATATTCCACCGTAGCCTGTTCACATTAGGTACTTAAATTCAATTTTTAAACTTTTCCTTTTACATGTTATGTTAATAAATTTTGTAAAACTTTCTTTTCCACTTATGCATTAAATTTTTTGTTTATTTTGCTTACTCATTTTGTCAATTCATTAGCATAGTTTTCCCTGTCATTTAGTACCTAAAATGTAAAATAATAATAAAATTAAACTCAGCCATGTACAAAGATATTTCACTCTCACTCGCTGATCGGCGAGGAGAGCATTTTGCGGTTAAAAATTACCCCAGTATGGCCAAATTACCGGTTATGACAAACCTTTCAGCGACTGTTAGGGTGTAGGAAAGAGGATATAGGCAAAGCCTGGGGGCCTCCGTCTCTCATCTTTGCCAGGCTCCCGGTTGCAGCGTTGTGTAAAAAGGATAAATGAAAATAATAATAATAATAATAATAATAATAATAATAATAATAATAATAATCCGAAGAAGAATAAAATAAAAAAGTCATCATATGAGATCGACTACTCTGTAGATATTCCAGTGCCCAAGTCTGAAGTGACACATGTAGCCAAGCCGCTCGTATGCCGTCGCAGGAACAGGGTTTCAAACCCCGGTCGACCCGTTTGCAGTTTAGGGGAGTTCGCAACATCATTTCTGAGGGCTCTTCTGTTTCTCTTACCACTGATCTATTATTCAAACTCATCATCACTCATCATCTATACGGGAAAGCTATTCATCACAGGTATAAAATACATATCTATTCTCGCTACACGTAGAAAATGGATCAGTGATGTCGTGTATAGATGATAATGACAATTCGTGGTTGATGATGAAGAAATAGTAAATTGAGAAGCTGGTAAAACGAAAAAAAAAACAGAAAAAAATTACCGAAAAAAAATCCTTTGTTTGCTACATAGTATCACACAAATTCCTCATGAATCGATCGGAATTCTAAATCCGGTGCCTCGATATTGAAAGCCAACGCCCTAGTCGCTGCGCTACGGATGACCATAGTGACTATAGCTGAACCTCTTAGAAAAAACTTTAACTAAACACTCCCTAGAATTTTGATTGGCAGCTGTTCCCGTTGTATAAGATCGATTACTGCTTAACAAATTATTTTCTGTAGCTCCACGTGGCATCCAACGCGTTCTCTTAGTGCAGTTGACACTCTTCGAACCCGACTCCGTCTAACTGGAAGGGATACAATCGGATGGCGTCATTTGACCGTTGTATAGACCGACGTAGGTGGCTTAGAGCATTAATTGATGTCATTGCCGTGCCTCTGACAGAGAGGTCCTAGGGTTCGAGTTCCTACGGTGGCACGATTTTCGACACTTCCTTGTCAGGTAGGTCGAGTTCAGCCACTATCTGCAGGAGAATTCTAGCGACCGACTGCTCTGATCTATAGCTTTCCGTGGTTTCTCCTATCAACACCAGGCGAATGTTGGAGCAGTACCCTACGATCATTCAGTGAAAGTCGGCGCCGGATCTCGCCATCCAGTGGCAAGCTCACCGCCACTTCTCGCGATAAATCACGCACTACACATACGGAACTAATGACCTTCCGCGCCTGGAAATACCAATCAATTCACTGCTTCGTAATCTTGTTCTCAACGGGCCACCAACTCGCCATTGCATTGACGGTAAGACAGAGAGCGACAAGACGAAAAGTTGCGAGGGAAGCCTCTCCAGCTCCTCACGAGGTCAAGTTCCGCCTTCAAGGGTTCTTAGGCAGATGTATCTGTTACAAAGGACAGCGTCTGTGGAGAAGAGGCTTTGAGCATTGTCCAAGAACGCGGAGTGTGGCTAAGGGTTCGCTTCCCTCTTAATGTTTCGGTGTTTTCACAATGTAGTCTTGACCACGACCATCTTGGTGATTGTCTAATAAAACCACGAATCTGATGCAAATCATCATTATCATGACCGTTAATTTACTACATGTGATCATTCCTAGTCACCAATAAAGTGGAATGCAAAAGGACACCAACTCTTTAATAAGTAGATAGATGTGCAAGATTCCTTCCACCGCGCTCATGTGTAAGTGTATTATCCCGTGTATCCCGTGTAAGTCATATTAACATAAGTCGAAGCGTTCAATAAATTGTCAAAGATGAAGTATTTTGCGCAAGATACGAAGAAACTGACTGGTTGAATAAGATAATGTTTTGCCTAAAAATGACATCAAGTCGAAGGTTTCCCTTATTGATTATCGCGTAACATCTCTTTCTCAGTAGTGTCCAGTCAATCAATGTGGACTTTTTTCTATTGAAATCATAAAAATCTATTGTCCCATTTAGAGGTTATGTCGGTTAAACGAATGGAATGAATCATCTCATTAGGATCTGTCACATTCGTTTTAAGTAATGTTATGCAAATTACGCTACATCCTTGTTTATTGTTTGGTTTTTCGATCATCAAATCCATTAATTGCTTCGAAATGTAATGAGAGGCATAAAACTCCCCTATTTCACGGTAAAACTATCTCTCTTTCTTCCTTTTCCGCAGTCGGATAATAAATGTCAAGGAAAATATCGAATTGATTATTTTAGGCATTAAGCTGAAGAGAAATATCGAGAAAATACATCAATAGACTATAGCTGAACTACTTAAAGGGGAATGAAACACAAAATTGACTTTTCCTGTTTTTGATATAATATAACTAGACCTCGGATTTTGGAACAAATGCCGCTTTAGTTCCTTTAGGAGATTGTGAAAAATCATTTCAGATGTTTATAAGTAATGAAAGAAGAGGTAGAATAGCTAGAAAGCATAGAAATAGATAGAAAGTATATAATAGTGCCTAAAATGACCTAAAACGGCAGTTTGTCTACTTTAATACTTTTTTGTCTCAATCTGCCTAAAACAAGTAAATTTTGATGATATATTTTATTTTAATTACTCAGTTTTTACATTTGTTTACCGAAACGCAAACACTTTCCTGGTTTTCCCTAACCGTGAAATCTCTCACATAACACGCCGAATATAAAGGGCTCTGCGTGTCAATATAAAGACTATGTTTTACTCTCGTCTCTGATCAGCACGCCCTTCGTAATCAATTGCATCCATTCCCAGTCCGGTTGCGCTGTGAACAGGTTCAGAATGAAAAGTGTCAAATAATGAATTAAATGAAAAGAAATGAACGTGAATAAAATAATATTCTTGTATCAGTAACCTAACAAAATGAGTGCGGTCCCGTCCACAAAACTTTTGCCCGGACCCCCTTTATAAAAGTGTATAGCAAAACACACGTAGTTTTAGTTCCTCAAATGATAAAAATAGACCCTCTTTTACCTGAGGCAGCACGCTTGTGAGGCCTTTGCAGGCCCGCCCGTTACGCCACTGACTTGTATTTACTCTCATAAATGTAAAAATGCATGACTTACCATAAAAATAAAAAGTGCCTCATTTAATCCCGTCGTGATCAGTTTTAGATACCAGAAACATAACTTTTCATGTGTAGTGTTTTTAAAAGCGCAGTTTAATCATTTTAAAACCTATTTTATGTACATAAAACGTCATTTTTTATACTAACATTGACTCATTTCATAATTTTGTTCCCTATTTTAGATGCCTAAATCATCCCTTTTTTTGTACGTGAAATTGCCAGGTCTAAATATAACAAAGAACAAAACGACAGAGGACGATTGGCGCGAGAACCACGCTCTCTGTGTTTCATGGAAGTGGAGATAAAGCGTTTTCAGCTCGTAGTGATGTCACGTTGGGGAGCCACGCAGCCGAGACCGTAGATCTGTATTGGCGTGTGGCGCCTCCACCCGGTGAAACACCAAATATTGGTAGAGGATACGTTTTATTTTCACTTCACACTTTGCTTTTCGTCTTGGTGATTTGTGCTTTTGCGCTAGAGCGATACCATGAGCTTTAATAAGCTGTATCAAAGATAAATACGAGAGCGAGTTCGAGTAAATTAGGGACACGAGTGAAATGAAAGAGAATTTCGAAGAACACAGAAAATATGTAACGGATGTAGAAGGCGTAAGCTGCTCTGATGTTGAAGATGTAAATATTTTACAGAGCAGTTTATCGTGTATTATGTTCAAGAACATTTTTAAAATAATTTTTGAAACAGATGTACTAAATTTCAAGCAACATAAACTATTTTTGAAACCCAAAAGTTAAAGTATTAAACATGGTTTGTAAGTGCAAGAATCTTCAAACAAAATGTATCGAAACATCGCAGACAGTTGATGTCGTGGATTAATACTTAGAAATATGCAATAGGTGATGCAATAAATATAATGGGAAGAGGTAATCGACTTTTTTTTATCCCATCGTACTTTGTTAGAGATGCAGTACTTTTCCCAAAGCTGATGGACACAAGGCTGTCCATACATCGACTAAATGGTTTCAATAAATTAAAAATAAATTATTTGAATTCCGTAATTGAGTATAAAACATTTTGGACAATAAATCCAGGGGTAACTGGTCATCTCCATACAAACAGAAAAAAATAATAGAGTGAAGCTAATATTTATTCACGAACTCCAAACATTTTTAATGGCGGATCTGAAGAATCGGACGGGTGATGTTTCTTTGAAATAAAGTTCTGGAAAACATGCACAATATCAAAATTGCTAAAATGTTGTTACAGTAAATCAACTGGCCACCACACAGCATTACAGCAGGAAACATCAGTACATTATATATTAGAAGTTTTCCATACAGTTTTCAGATTTTCTTGAGAGTTGACATTTCTTACATATTAAAGAAGACAAAACGTGCCATTTTCCCGGAAGTGGGACCCTCACTGGTAATGTGAAGTCACAATAGTTTCAAGAGGTCGTAATAATTCGTAAACGGAACAATGCAAATATAGATCTGCATTATAATTTATCAATTATATTTCGTGAGGTAAATAAGATTAAGAAATTTTGTGAGAAATGTGCATAGTTCCATTAAAAATGGATGCTAATACAATTTGACAACCGTGTAATCAAGAATACAATAATACTTACGTAGGTACATATTTGATACTTTTCTTAATAGTTCCGATTACTTCGTGAAATAAAGATCAGTAGAAATTTTGAAAGTGTTTCCATTCATTTGGGAAGCTGAAATAGATCACGCCATTCCCAGTTTGATAAGGAGCTGAAATTCGTAAAAATCGCCGGCAGCGCATCTTCCATATGTCAATGCTAAACATCCTCTGGAAACATTATTCGTCCAACGTCGCCTGGGTATCGAAGACAGCTTCCTTACCCACCGAAACTTTGCTAACCTGTTGCAGTATTCACGCCACTCCTATTCTGATGCACGATACTTTTCCATCGCTTTATCTTCTCTTTTTGACGTACTGACACTGCTGCTTCTTGGGCAAATACATTCAAAGTACCTTCAAAACAAGTTCCGGACCAATATCCACCGTAATTCATTCAGAACAAGCGGTGAGCTGCGATGACAGGACTATCGGTTGCGAATTTGTGGCCTCCCATATCCTCTGATCGTACCATCTGCATTTTTCCTGTAAGTGATAGAGGACAATTGCTTTGGCGCTCTGCACGACAATTGAACGAGCCGTCCGTGCTCATCCCGGATAGTGCAATTACGACGGTCGACTGCATGGTATCGGCTAGAGCACGGCAAGCGTTTCATCCTGGAGCACTGTGTTCGAGCATCTTGTGCTCGCTCGCTCACGATTGCCAGATTCACAGGTCAAAGCAATGGCCCTCACGGCTTCCCCGCGCCTCTTGAGGAAGCAATATGTGTCAAATCATCTGCGACAGTGTTGCGGGACTACGTTTAGGCAATAAATACGAGGAACATTTCGTAAGGAACCTAACATTTCATTTATTTTACATTCATTAACTTCATGTAAGCGAACTGAATGCATATGGAAATGTAATTAATTAATTACTAAAATGCAGTAAAGATTTATTTTTGAAACTAAAGTCCAGAAGAATGCCATTAATTCTCTCCGAACCGATGTTGTTCCTTTAAAAAATTATATATGCGCACTTATGTTTTTCTTTACTTCCTGATTTTATAACAGGAATATAAAATATTCTCGCCATTTACCTCAGCATAAAGTAAACATTTTCACTTTCTCTTTGATCATTTATACTCCAGGTTGAAACGTTTTAACTTTGCTGCATCTTTAATTTGGCGTTTCGAAATTTAAACCATGACTTAATCGGTGGTGACACAAGTATTAAGCGTTAATTGTTCGCATTTCCCGGCCTAGCATTGCAGCACAGTGCTCTCCTTTCGACACATGGATTGTTATTAAGGTGTTAATTGGAAAAGTACAAGAGTTCAGTTGGTGCATATCAAATATATTACGATCAACGAGATAGAATATAGTCTATTCTTCCTCGTTGGTTCCAATTCACGTCAAATGTAAGATTAAAACGTTAAGGTTTATATTTCGATGTAATTTTACGCGTTATTTAATGATTTGCCCTTGAAACTCTAGGAATATAAAACCGGGAGGTCAAAAAATATACAAATTTTTTTTAAGTTTTTAATTAGGTCTTAATAAGCGCAATTTCACAAAGAAACCCATGTACTTCAGCAGATGGTATCCGTAGTTGTACTTGATCTTCACCAGGATCGCTAGCTGTATGCATGCGCATCTCTAACTAGCCAACAAAAAAAAAAAATAAAAAAATAAAGGCTAAGCTGCGCTACTGTATAAATACGTATACTGTGGTGGTCTCATCAGGGGCGGGCCTGACTTCCGACGGGTCGTCGCGGAGAAGAGCCCTGTCCAAGGAGACGGATGCTGTGTGCGCCAACCCGGAGCGACGGGACGCGCCGGCCAGCGTCCGGGAGCCTCCCAGCAGCCACTCGCTCTGAGCCTAGGGCGGTCCACAAAGGAGACGGCGGAGGAAGTGGAGAGTGGTCACGCAGTCAGGAGTCTGCAGACGAACAGACTGGCAAGTTGCGAATAGAGCAAACTGACAACAGCTATGGAGGGAAGGAGAGAAAGAGGAAAAGAGAGATGATGGGAGAAAGAGAAATAGTGAAAGCCAGCGAAAGAGAAAGATTGTGGAGTCAGCGAAACGTTTACATGGCGTAGTGTTGGAGACTGATTGTGGTTGGACGATCCTGTTTTTGGTGTACACTCCTGATGTACGTATGTTAAAAGTTAATTTGAACAATTTCTGCTTATACAAACTGCCCGTTGCCAAACAGTAATTAGGTTATCTGGAAGATTACTACAATCATTTAAGAAATCCCCATGCAAAAGGGAGCACTAGTGAAAAGAGTATAAATCACATCACTGTCATATTAAAAGAATTTCGCCCCCCTCCGCAAGGCTAGAAGCAACAGAATTTCATCGAACGGGAGCCATGTGCGTGCCGTGCTTGGGCAGAGATGGTTTTTCGACAGAAAGAGATTTCTTCAGCGACCTGCGACACAAAATAGCCAATCTTTTCTTTTAGAGCATTTTGAAACAGCAGAAAAGTTAAATGATTCTCTGTAAGTGTCGTCTAAAAAACAGATATTGTTTATTGACAGTAGAACTTGTAGACATTTGGATATGACAGGTTTTTGTTTTCTCGGAGAAAGATAAGAGTCGTTGAATACAAATAAACAACGTCGGTATCTTAAGAATATTTTTAATTTTATAAAATGTCAATCCATCGCAGTAAAACTTAGAAAATAAAATTGTCGGCGAGGTATTCAGTGATAATTTTTAAACGAAACATCTTTCATAATATCTGTATAAGTAAAATTAATAGTCTGTAATTAATCGATTAACAATTATATTAGTTCACATTTAATATATTTAATAAATATATTTTATTTTAAAAAACGTTTGTATATATTTAAAAACGTGTGTTTTTTATGCAGTAAACAAATACAATATACATTTTCATTGATTGTTTCATAAGGATGTATTATTTAAATTACGTTTATAGTAATTCGCTAGGTACAAGATGTGCCAGGAGGCTGTAGATTAGATTCGTTCAATTAATTCCCCAGAGGCGCTGATGACTTCTTAACCAATGAAGGGCCGAATAAATTTTGCGCACGTGGCAAATGCTCATTGTCGTTAGGTATATATAGGTTAAGTACAGTTTTGTAGCAAGTCATGAATAAGCTTTGACAAGAAACGGACAGTGCTTTAGCGGCCACGTCCAAATCAACATCCAGCGTACAGGCGTCCCTAAAGTTCCTTTTATTTCTTCCGTTTAATATGTCTGGTACTATTGAAAATACAAAATCCACAAAAAGCAAATTTGAGTTGACCAGAACCTGCGACCTCAAATGAGGACGTTCGTCTTAACAGACAATACTCTGTACTTTTTTAAGTTTAAAATTATTTAGAGTACTGTTATCCGTAATGTACTAATGTGCTGTAATTCGAATTTGCAGTCCTTTTAAATTGACGACATAATATTATGGTAACCGTAAGTGATATACATTTTGGGAAGTGAATTGTTAATAAATAAAATGTAATAGTCGGTTCATTTTCTTGAAACTCTCTCGCACTCCAGAGGTGATGTAGTTGCATATAATTTAATTGTCGCTAATCCTAAATATTTTAAATCTTTGACTGCATTAACCTTACAATTTCAAGATGTCCTTAAAACCTATTTTTCTAAATTTATTTTCTATCCTAAAGGTGTCAATAAATTCTTGCATTCGTTTGATGAGCGTCCCTCTGATACCTGGTGCTTTCGTATTGGAGGGATTGACCCCAATACATTCCCCGTACTGCGTCGAACATTAAGATCGATGAACCCTCTGATAGTTGACAGCCTGACTTGGCTAGGCAATGGCCCATTCGTCAAGTGACCTGCTCACGCCAATGAGCTCTCTAATCGATAGTGGAGATGACAATCGAAAATGACGTAGGCATTTACGTTCAGCAGTAACCGCAGTCTTGTTTTATACACTTTCTCATATCTTTCCTTTCTTAAAAGATTCATATTCTGAAAAAGTATGTAAAACATTCGTTCAGAATGATTTTTTTCAGTGATGAAAAATGTGAAGCCGTAGAACAAGTAAATTAGTAGCTATTTTAAAGAGTCTGTGGAGTAAAACAAAAAATAAACCAAAATGATAAATTTATTGAACAAACTGAACGAGTTTCATCTTAGGATGATATTGACATCAAATACTAATGCTTTTCTTGTCATCTTATATTCGTGAATTTTAAAAAAAACCTTTGTCGAATTTAAAATCAATGAAACGAAAATCAATGAATCTTGTTGACTGATCTGGAGAAATAAATCTCTTCGCAGATTTGACTGATGCTTTATTATCGTGTATTTTCTGCAGATTTGGCTTTTATAGGCGCAAATAATTCGTTATCGGGCGACTTGTTTATAAATTGTAATTTTGTAGTAAACAGTTTTCTCTAACTCACAGATCATGTAGTTTTGTACAATACACATAATCACATACGTTTTATTAAGTGTTTCTACACTATTCATTTGAAGGTAATTACAAAAACTTTATGTAAATATTGCAAGAAATTCATGGACAATTACGTAAATCGTTTTTTAGCCATCATTATTTTCTGCAAAGTAAAATATATATTCAAAATTTAAGGATCACTTCCATTGACCAATAAACTAAATTTATCCATATTTCTATCTATGGAATAAACTGTGATTCATTAAATTTGAAAACTTTCTTTCAAATAGACATACTTTCACGTTATATCTTCTATTCTTTTATTTTTTAATGACTTCTAAAAAACTAAAAACGCAAAGTTATGGTTGAAATATATCTAATTTAATTTTGAAGATAACCATATTATTTATTTCCGATATAGTTATACAGTAATAGCATGTTAGTTTAAATTGAAGTGAATTTTCAAATATATTCTGGTATGTGAATGTGTGCCCTGATAAAAAGCAGTTTTTTAACAAACCGATACTTGCTTTTACAGGTATACTAAAACGTGATAGACCTTCTAAAAGTTTCCAGTTGTGCAATTCATCGACTTTGTAAGTAACTATTGTTTTATTCTAAAAAAACAATGATAATGTTGTTCATGAAAATAGTGTTTTCCTCGTATATTTTGTTTTGGATCGTTTAAAAGTCCTAACTTACTAATTACAATACTCTTTATAATTTGAAATTAAACTTAATTAATTGTCTAATGATTGTGATAATAATTGACCAAAGTATTTTTACGTATTATAAAAACAAGCATTATTTTCAATATTTCTAATTAAGTTCATTTTCTGCGTTACTGCACTGGCACGAATTAAATGTGGAGTCAAACACGCTTCATGAGAAAGAGAGCAAGGAGGCCTTAGGGTTTAACTGGATTGGTGAAGTGAAGAACGAGGTACCACAAAGTCGGGAAGAGTTAAACGAACTGTAGCTCCAGGTTGATCGCCCCGTTTATAGATTTTAAAATTGACTGAAGGAAGTGGCTTTTTCGCTGCTTTCTTGCAGTGTAATTGTCGAACGTATTAATTGTAATCAGATTACATTTGCCCAACTTGGTTCTGAGCAGTTCTCACACCGGCTCTCTGTGCTTACAGACCCTTCCAATAGTGCTTGGTAACTTAGTCACGACGGCAGGAGTTAGATGAGAAGTTTGCGGGTGGAGAGGGCGGGGCGGGGAACTGTCGCGATCGACAGCGCCCTTTCACTCCCCTCTGCGGTCGCCGTCGGCCGCTCCGGCCCAGGGGGCTCTGGCGGCGGCAGAGATGATGTCGGCAGGGGGAATGGCGGAGAAGCGGGAGCGTAGGCAGCGTGGGTAGCGGCACAAAGGGGTGGCGATAACGTTGGCTGGATTGGCGGAGCTGGCAACGGCTATAGTTAGTGGCAGTGGTGATGACGGCGGGGGCGGCGGCAGTGGCAGTGGCAGTGGCAGTGGCGGGGGCAGGGGCGGAAGTTTGTGTCGGTGCTGAATTCGCACGTCCGCTCATCCTGGCGGTCAGAGGTTACCCTCAGGCTCATCGGGCTCCGAGGAGACGGCTTGCAGCAGATAGTTGGAAACGTCATTTTCATGTCATTTCCCAACTGTCACCTAACTCCTCTCCCGACAGCTAGAACTGCTTCGAAGTGTATTTACTATCGCTAGTAATTTCTCCTTTGTAAATTATATCATCTCTCTGATGTAATGTATTTTCTGTAAAATCTATTATTCTCGTATTAAATGTTTCACTTGCTTGTTGTATTAACTTTATAATGCAAAAGGAGTTATATTAGGAATACATCATATCTGTATTATTTCATGGACATAATTATTAAAGAGATGAAATTTCTCAACTCATTCACTGTACAATTGGAGCAATTGGAGTAAAAAGTAGAAAATACTGTGTGCGAAATGTTACTTTATATTGAATTTAATGCATTTTTAATGAAGATTATTAAACTTCAATAACATAAAAGGGCACTTTTCCTCTAGTGTTAAAGTCTGCAAAATTTGAACACTATTACCTTATTTCATAACTACAAATACTTTATAATAAAATTATTAATACGTGATATAAAAAAATATTGATTTTTGGGTAAATTTCCTCATTTGTTTTTCTATCGATCAAAAAAACAACCTCGAACAACAATTATTGACCGCTTAAAAGCAATTTATTTCTCCTACATCCGTAATGGTCTATGCAGGGGAATAAAGTAGCTTGACATTTAGAAACGGAGTGTTAAAAGAAATACATAAATCTGCCTCAATCAATAGTTTCGCCTGACTGCCAATGTGATGTTGTATACAAATTGGCTACGTAGTTTGTCACATTTAAAGGCATAAAGTGTTTCTTTTGAAATTTTACTTCATATCTCACTTTTCAAGCTGCTAAGAAGACAAATATTGATTCATTAGCGAGTATTGCCAGACTAGCACTTAAGTCTGTCATAAATTAGATAACAGAAATGATTAATTTACTCCCTTTATTGTTTGCAATTAAAAAGTACTCCCACTAATCACGATTTTTGCGAGCTCCCAGTACTTTTTGTTCTTTAATAGCGTTTTTTTAAATATATCACATATGCTTTCCCCTTGGTGAAAAACAGTTCAGTGTCAGTTACTGTCACCGTCACCGGTTGTATGTTTTTGTGCATAAGATTAATATTCAATAATTCAAACTTTTAGCTTAGCTTTTAATGGACGATAAAGTGGAGTTTTGTACCCAGCACTTTTACATCAGCGTG